ATTTCTGACTATTTTCCTGGGTGAGGGGACTCTGTGGGTGTGCGTATGGAGGTCCAAGTGCCAGCAACTGGAGGGACCAGGGTCCATGTCTGTCATGTGGGTGCATATGTCAGTGTGTGATCACTAGTGACTATTGAGCAGGACTAGTGGGCGAGTAGGGTAAGAGGCTTGGGAGCCAGGTATCAAAGAGGCCATAAGTCTTGGTCAGATACTAGAGAGGTCAGATGGTCACAGTTTGGCTACTGGAGGGACTGCAAGGTCCAAGCCGGTGGCTGAGGAGACTGTGGGGTCTGGGGTCAACTGAGACCAATTTCTATGTCTGTTTGTCTCTGCATGAGGCAGCTGGAGAAGGGAGGATCTGAAGACCAGGTACTGGGTGGCCCTGAGTGTCTAAGGGCAGTTACTGGAGGGATCGACGGTGCGTGTGCGTCCGTGCAAGGAATCTGTATCAGCCACTGGAGAGGGGCTGTGGCCACAGGGCTCCTGTGGCCAGGTGCCAGCACCTAGGAAGACCAAGGACCCAGGGCCAGCTACAGCATAGACTGTCTACGGCCAGTTGCTGGAGGGATCCGTAGCCTGTATATATGTATATAATACCCACTGACAGACCTTCATCCTAATCAACCAGCGAGGGGAACACGATGAGGCAATTTTGTTTGCTTGAGTGCTGTGTTTTTTGTCCGTGTTGATCCGTGGCTGTCCGTCTATCTGTGCCCATGCATTGTACATGGGCGCGTGTGTGTGTATTGGGAATACGTGCTCAGACTCGCTCCTAGCTGGGGCAGGGAGATGCAGCAACCTCACCTCTACTGGGCTACCAGATGCTGCAACTTCTAACATAGAATAAAAATTCTGATGGAATGGCTGGTGTAGTGAAAGAAAATGTCCTAATTTTTCCTTGGAAATATTTTTTAAAAGAAGGCATCTTTCTCTGATGCTGTTATTTTGGTCACGAGCCTGGTAAGTTCTTCCTCTGCCACCTCTTAGTGCAGTGCCCAAAGCAACCATCTGTGCATTGTGATCACTTGAAGTAATGTCATATATCAATAGAGCCTGAAATATAAATAACTTTGGTTGGAGTACAGAAAGTTTACAAAGAAAAAGAATAGTGCTTTTGAGGCATCTTGTCATCCCAAAATGGAGACTGCCACATGGATTAATCATCATCTGCATGTTATGCAGTTTATAGCCGCATAACAATAATTACAAATAAATTTTATATTCAATCCTGAGCACTGTAGTAAGCTTTCTTTTTCTGAGGTGCTTTTATAAAGCATAGGACAGAATATTGTTCATGGGTATGAAGGATATATAGCTCTACTACTGCAGGAAGAAAGTCGTGAGACTGTAAAGCTACTGAAACTGGTGTTTCTTTGTCCTGAAGAGCTGGGCTACCTGCCTGACATTTTAGCCTTAATGGCAGTTTCTTAGCTTAATTAGATTTCAGATGCAAACCTGTGAACATTATTTGATTTCCTCTGTCCTTCATTCCTCCCCCAATGGGATGCAAGTACACACAGGATGAAGAAGATCCCTCGGATGTCGCTAAAAGCATTTCAAAAAGTGGTTTGTCCACCAACAGCTTCTCTGAACAATGAACAAATACGCTTGCTTACTTAATTTTTGACCCACTAGAGAATTGGAATGATATGGTTTCTCGTAGGGTAATTTCTTCTTAAAATGTGCAGAAGCAGGTTTTTTAAGCACATCTTTAAATTAAGGTGGAAAAAAGATCTTTAAAATCAGGGACTACCCTGTGTCTTCACTTAGGATCATTTTCTTTTGCTGGTTGACTGGCACCTTGCTTTTGATCCGAAACACGTGCTGTTAGATATCTCCAGACTGCGGAGAGAAAGGAGCTTAACTTCAGAGGGAAACGGAGACAGTAAAGATGCTCTAGCCAAGGATGCAGGTTCAAAACTGCCTGATTAAGCCTAGCCTAAGGGAATTTTGTCCCCACTCACGAATGGTCTACCTTCATCTGCTGCAGTAACTTTTCTTCTTTTTAGCAGATTCACATCTAGCATGTTTGGCAGTGATGCATTGACCCTGTCCATATTAAAAGATGCCATTGATAAATCAGCAGAGAATGTGCAGAACCTTTTTGTTCAAGTGTGCAGCGTGGATCCCGCAGCCTCGCTGCACGGAACACTAGCAGGGCGTGTTTCTTTCAACAGCTGTAGGAAGCTGATTGAAGCTGGTCCTTTCCACATGCTTGCTTTGCCAGGGAATTAAAGCTTCAGGCTGCCATTTGTGTGGAGTTTTTAAATATGTATGACCCAAACAAGGGGCCTGTTGAGAAAGGCTCTAATCCTCTTGCATATGAAACCTGGTATTCTGCTCTTCTCTCTTTCTGATGTTTCTGTGCTCTCAGATATGCTAAATCTACCTTTGAAGTTTCATTTCTTCTTGTGTAAAATATGCTTTAATAGATGAACCTTGCAGCTGGGAATTAGGAGACACTGGTTCAAGTTGGACGCAGCAAGCAGTTCATGTAATCATCCTTTGCCTTGGTTTCCCTGTTTGTAATGCAGAAAGAGTCATGTCCACCCTCCTGTATGCAGCTCTTTGAGCTTTGTTCTGGGTAACTAATTTAGAAGCCATAATGTAGCGTAGACCTTCTACAGTCTGGCATGAAGCCCTGCTGGAAGGTATCTGTCTGGGGATGCTGCAAATCCATCGGTAAGGAGCAGAGGCTTCCCTGTTTCTGATCAGGAATTCACAGGCAGAAATATATGTGCATGCTGAAGAGATCAGACCAGCTGTGTGGGTGCAGAGAGTCCTGCCCGGTCCTGCCGGTCCCACTTGCACAGAGTCAAAAAATCTGTGTCTTAAGCGAATCAGACGATTTATTGCCTGTGGTGTGTATGCCAGTGATCCTAATGTGTAAAGCCTTGATTTTTCAAGAACATTTGCATGTAATGGCAGACTGACTGTTTAGCTGCAAAGACACAAATGAGTGCAAGGTGGGTGAGAAACTCATGTAGCCAAAAACTCTTTTCATAGAAAGCGTTTTTCATGCAAGGATCTCAGGAAGGCTGAACTTTTCTCGCCTCCTTCTTGAGGTAAAGTGTGTAGGTTTTATGTGCCACTAGGACCTGGGGAGCTATGGAGGATCAGGAGGAAGACAGATTTTAAGAGATGGGTATCTCTTAGAGGCATATGTAGCAGCCCTTCCCCTGGCCGGGCTAGGAACTTGGGGATGTCTGTCCTGTAGGGTGACTGTAATTCCTTCTGATGGAAGAAATATTTGGACTAGGGGGAGGAAAAATGCGAGCTGTTTTCAAAACGAAAATACATTGTGCGAAGGTGCAGCAGGTTGCCATTGTTTCCCTTTGTAAGGGCAGGGCTTCTAAGACATGTTCAATTTTGGCATCTCTTGGAAGAAGATCTGAAAGGTTTTATCTGTGCAGACTACAGTGATTCTCTGCTTAAATAGGATGTGATCCCATAGCTAGACAAAAGCTGGAGTATTGAGTTTTGCTCCGATAGACTCTCCTAGGAGCTATATATAGCTCTTTAAAAACCCAAGTAACCTGCCACAGAACTGTCTGAGAGAGAGCGTTATAAGACAGCACAATTACAAAATACTGTGAAAGGCTGAATAGGTTTTTTCCCCCTCTTGTGATATTTGGAGCTGAACTGTAGATACATCATTTTGACCATGGCCTTTTAAAGTAACTTTCTATTCTGTCCCTGTCATTTTTGGAGCTGTAAAGGAAAGCCAAAATGCCAGGGAAGGGGAGCAAATGAAAAGGGGGAGTGGGGCTAGAGAGTAGGTTTTGATCATCTTTGCAAGCAGTGACATCATCTATGAGAACAAAAGTCTTCAGTCGCTGCAACTGGAGACTGCTTTTAGTCTCCAACCCTATTTTGCCCCGAGCCAGCCAGCCAAATAATAACAGCGGGATAAATCACTGCTGGCAGAACTTAACAGTTATGCAACATCCAGTGCACCATGCGCCTATTTTTAGATCCGTTTTACACTAGCAGAATTTACTTTATGAAATCTAAAAAGAATGTCTGGTCAGAGGCCCGGGGATAAAGAGGGTATTTAGAAAGTGCAAAATGTAAAAAACACTTAGTACAAAGATGCGCTAGCAAACCCCACTTTGGCAATGCTGATATCCTTTCAAGAGTGTTGGCTCAATCAGGCATGGTAATGAAGAGTAGAAGGTTTTTTCATCAGTATTCCCTTGAAATTCTAATCTGCAGTTGCTTTTTAAATGTTTAACTATACTCATTTTACGCAAATAGCTAACTATATATGGTTTACTTAAAGCTGGGATTCTCCACCATTTATGCTGTACTTTGTCTTTACCAGATCTGGAATGCAGTAAGCAGCACCTCACCTCCTTACAGTACTGGCTGGTCAGATTTAAAGAAATTGTGTTAACTGGAGTGCTCTGCAAAGCTGGCTGAGCTACAGAGATACTCCTCATCTTTTGTGAGATACCCTAGATTTAATGAGGTCCTGATATTTAGCTGGTATACGTTTCATGTATGTTTTCTAAATCTTCGGTAAATTAGGATTGTGTATGCTGCTTGCTCCAGATCAAACTGAATCTTTTTCAGTGTTCACAGGAACATACACTAAGTTGTATTTCATTAGTTAAAAGCAATTTCAGCTTGCAGGACAGATACGCATAACTGAAGATTAGTCTCGTGTACTCTGCTCTTCATCCAAGACCAGATGTGCATCTTCTCTCCTTTAAATTTGACTTTATCCTCTTAGTCACTGTGTTGTAATTCTACATTAGTTTGTACTGTGTATAATTTTGTTCCCAAAATTTTTCACTCAGATTCAGAACAGATAGTGATTGGGAAAAGTTTGACACCTCAGCCTTTAGAGATTCTAGCAGATAAAACATACCCTGCATAGCTAATTTGGGATTTCTGGCACAATTTGGCCAGTTTTCAATCACACCTTGAAGCGAATTAGCGTTCTGACCATTGCGTGATCTGTATTGATCTTTTTTTCCCCAAAACCTTTCTTCTAGGTGGCAATGTCGATGCTATCCATGACATAACTGTGGCATACCCCCAAAACATTCCTCAGACGGAGAAGCACCTTTTGAATGGAAACTTCCCAAAGGAGATTCACTTCCATGTCCAGAGATATCCCATAGAGACAGTGCCCGCTTCTAAGGAGGAGCTGCAGCTTTGGTGCCGGAAGCGTTGGGAAGAGAAAGAGGAGAGACTCCGACACTTCTATGAAGGTGGAAAATGCTTCAGTGCAACAGGGCAAAGCATTATTCCACCGTGTAAATCTGAGCTCAGGGTCCTCGCGGTTAAGTGCGTCTCGCTCCTGTATTGGACGGTGTTCCCACTGGGTATGCTTGCACTGCTGTACCTGTACAGCTTTGCACGATGGTATTTTGCAGCCATGATCGTCTTTTTTGTTGTGCAGCAAAAGCTATTTGGTGGGCTGGAACTAATTGAACTCGCTTGTCATGGATATTTTAAAAAGCAACAGAAATTTCACGACACAAAAATAAAAAACAATTAGTTGTGGGGTAGAGAAAGACGTAAAAATGGGTGGTTTTGAGATGTCCTGTGAATTTTATGCACAGGGAAGAATTTTTGCATGAGAATTGTCTTTTACTATCGCCATTGTTAGACATTTGCACTTGGTTCTGTGAAGAGAAAGAAAAATGTTAGTTATTGCTACACGTGAAAATGGTAGTTTTTATCTCTGAATGTAATTTCAACATTGCTCTTGCAAGCAGCTAGCAACTGCATTCTGCTGTAATTAAGAAACAAATTGCTGGATTATTGAACAATCATAAGGACGTTAATAAATGTGACATGCACTGAACTTCCATGTAGAAACCCAAACTGTCCAGCAAAGAGAGACAGATGTATGATTTCGGTATAATCATGTTGTCGTAAAGTAAGCACCGGATTTGGAAAGCTGGTAAGTTTAACGATGTTTTGATGGTAGGTGGAAGTTGGAGGAGAAGTTGTTCTGTTTCTTTTTTCTATTTCAAATATTCAAACTTATTTTAAAATAATATTTTCACATAAGCTTTTCCAGACACTACTGAACCTACCGCTATTCAGCCATTCTGGCTTGGTCACTCAGAAGGGTTTTTAAGCCTTGCAGTCTTGTGTTGCAGTACAGAAAACAATGCTGGCTCTGCCTCTATTTAAGTCTTAACTGATTATTTAATAGACCTATGCAGCTAAGTTTTGATTTCTCACTGTTGGATGCTGTTTTGGTCTCCCTGTTAACTGTGGGAGACTTGTTCCTACTGTAGTATACAGAGCTGCAGGATAGGGGAGCTGTTTTTTGTTGTTTTATTGGTGTTTTTTTCTGGTAGAGGCAAAAATAAGTGTCTGTCTCTGAGTAGCTGGCAAATGTTTTTCAAAAAGTTCTCCTTGTAGACATTATTTGATTGAAAACATTTTATTTATTTTTCAGAGTAGGCAAGATATCTTTTTTTTCTTTTTTGAAGCATTTATTTTGGTTTTCACATTGTTTCCGTAGGCATTTCAAGTGTCCATACAGATAAGCAGGAAGACTGCTTGTTCTGTGCGTGTCAGCCAGACCTGTTGAAAATCATCTGATGGTTGTCTCCTTACAGGTACAAGAGCCGAGTTTCAGACTTATCACGGCACGGGGAAATTGAGCTACATCTTCCCTTTGCAGAATTCCCTGTGATTGCCTGATGGCATCATTGCTTTTCCGATCTCCTTCGCAATTTTTGGGGGGTTCTTTTGGGGCACCCACTATAACACTTTCCCTTGTTTTCATGACATTCAGAAAATCTCAAGGCTTAAACTCAGACAAGGCACTTTCAAGTGTATTCCTTGTCATATGTAATACAAGTGATGTTCATGCTCACATAGTAAAAGACATAAACATTGCCAGCACTTAGGAGACACTTCAGGTTAGATTTGGTTTTCAACCTCAAAAATGTTAGACCACTTGATCAACTGTATTGCTGCAAAACCTTCCTAACTTACTAAATATTTGTTGTTTATTGCATGAAGGCTTGTTTGAGCTAAACCGAGGTGGCCTGGCTCCATGTGTTGAGTGGCATTGCCATGAAATGTGGAAGTACGGAGCGCAAAATGTATCTTGTACTGTGCTGAATGTCTCAGGCATTGGGTCGGCATGGTAGACACATCTGTTTTCTTCTAAATTACAACACTAAACATGTTGTCTAATGTGTTTGTATCAAAGGCCATTTTTTGAACGAATCACCAGCCTCTATTCAACTGTCCCTTGCAAGGTGACAAATATTTTTTAATCTATGCTTATAATTACTAATTGTTTATTATGCGGAAAGTACTTGAAGCCATCTGTTTTACTCTAATTTTTTTAATCCCTTTTTTCTTAAAAATAAATAAAACTAGGTTTATATTTAGGGTTATGTTTCTTAATGATTTTTTCATATTTATATTTGAGTACCTGACAACTGGTGTTTCATTGTCACGAGTGGAAGGAGGTCTTTTCTGCACTATGAGGACTTTTTTTTAACCTAATTCTGTGATATCAAAGGTGTGGTTGCAGCTTAAATCTACATAGCCTGGTTTTTGTTTGCCTAATACTCTGCTTTGGTGCAGTTCCCTGCACATCCAGGTAACTCACTGCAAGGGAAAACCTAAAAACCTCATTTATGGTTAATGCAGAGGAGACCTAAAAGGCTGCTTCTAGTCTGTCCTGAGCCGCGGTTGTGCTTTCACACCAGGAGTAACCATGGCCAGCCTACTCCAATAGCCTTAACATAGTCTTCAGGAATGACTTTGGAGGACAGGTTATATATGTTGGTGACATAAATACCAGTTATGCTTTTGTCAGTCGTTCAGAGAACTTTGTGGTGTCGTCAAATGTATCGGAAACGTCAGTGTGAGTCTTGGTCGTGGAGCAGTGAAGGATTTACGTCTGTGTGTGATTAGAGTTCGGCTCTGAAAATGAAATCGAATGCAGTCCACCGTTGACCCTTACAAGGGGTTTTCTCCCAGCTGGAGCCAAACACGTAACCTACTGTAATGTGGTAAACATCCTGCAAATCTGTAATTCATCCTCCTCTCTCATGTATTTGGATCGAAGAGAAAGAATAATCTTCTATTCAGCCGCAAATGTCACATTTGCAGCGCCTGACTCCATGATGCGGGGCGGCACGTGGTAAGCAAAGAATCCTCCTCTCACAGGGAAGGGTGTTGGCTTTGTGGCTGACGTACGTTTTCAGATTATGTGCATCGTTTTCCAGCTCAATTAGAAATGCAAGACAGAAAAAAAAAAAATAAAAAAAGCTTTGTGGATATGGAAGCTGCTTTGTGTAAAAAGTGGTTAAGGAAGTGGGGGAAGATTTTCTGTGAATGCTTGTTTTTTCTCTTTGGTCAAAATGTAGCTTTTTACTCAAAAGGTTCTAATATGCAGATTTTTTGGAGACTATTTTGTTCTTACTCGCCCTTTTTCCCTATTCGAAGTACACTAAGACATGCCAGGTAAATCACTTTGAAATGTTTTCAATGCTGTTAGGTTAAAGGTGCTAGTACTCCAGGAATCACACACCCCGCTCTTTCACGGGACGCATGTCAGCACCGAGACTTATGTCACTCATTAGCACGTTTGCCACGGCTCACCTTCTCTCGTAGTCCCGGCAGCCGCACTGTTCAGCGGCTACGTTCCCATCTACGGGACCTACAGGTCTTGCTAGGTCTTGCTTAGGTTATTTGAGGTCAGTGACGTGCTTTAGGGTTACTGCTGTCGTTTGCTCAATCAAATGTTTCCTCATCAGCATCAGGGGTTTCTTTCTCTTTGCTCGGAACAGAAGGTTGAAATCCTGCCATCTGTGTTTGTCATCAAGCTCATCTGGGTAGCAGGATGTCAGACCAAGACATGTCTCTCTTGGGTTTGAAGCTGCAAGGCCAGAAGCTGGTCTGTAAGGTTTTGTCTTGATCCTACGAAATGTAGTTCCTACTTTTGTGCGTTGCATCAGTCTCTGTTCAAAAAAGATCCGTGTTTTTATAACTTGATTTTATATGTACACTGTGTGAAAGGAAACACCAGGATACCACAGACCTACAGAAAGCCTTAGTTTTCAGAGTTTACTGATTATATTAGAATGTTTTAACCATGTACCAGTTACTCTACAGCAACAATAAAGACCTGAAGCATTGCATGTGTTTAATTTTGCCATTTTCTTTTTACTGCGTGACATGTTCTGTATGCACCCGTAAGGAACAAACCTTGTCTTCGATCATTGGGCTGTCTGTCTCGGACAGATCGGTGTCCGTTTGGGGGCTTGACCCGTGGTTTGTGGCTGTTGGGGTGGTCTGTCTCCCTTCTCTCCATGGGGGAGGCTGGAAAGGGGCGGCTGGCTGTACCCTCCCTTCTAGCCTCTTCATGTACAGGGATGCGGAAACCTTTGCGTGTGCAAGAGGTACAGCTCAATTTTAGCCTTGCTCTGCTGCTTAACCAGTGTTGCTTAAGAATAAGCTGTAGTTCGAAAGAGCATGTTAGGTGTTGATACGTAGTAAGTCCACCATTTTAGCTATATCCTGTTACAACCCGTGTAATTACTGACACAAGAAATGATCTATGGCACAGTTCTCATTCTTAGAGGACCTGTGTTTAATTTAACTTCAAATCACAGGCTTCTTGATTTCTCTCTGCATTGTCGGAAAGCTAATGCAGTGTGGAAGGGCAAGGGCTGTGTTTCTCGGGAGCTGCTCTCCTCATTACCTAAGGGGCAATATCCTTGCTGTGGTGGCCGCACCCCACAGCAGCCATAGCAAAACACCCACGTCTCCAGCAAGTACCATGTGTCCGAAAGACCACAAGAAACGGAGAGAGACCCTGGTAGCAGTTTCTGCAGCTGGAGATGATATTGCAATGTCTACATATGCTCAGAGCATTCAAGTCAGTCCCCAAAAGTCAAAATGAGCCATGCTCTGTATTGAGCGGCTTTGTCTCTCTGAAGAGATGGTTGTTGCTTGCTCTTTCTTTCCTCGGGGCTCAAATATGCAATGAAAAAATTGATTTGTCTGTCTTACCTGCCATTACAGAAAATAATAGTAATAGAGGCCAAAGATTTCACCCTCCAGGTGCCCTGGACCCTCCTTTTCAGTTCAATACAATGCGTAAAAGGTTGAGTCTTATTTCCTGAGGATTTTGAATCAGACCGCAAGCTATCTCGACCAGAAATTACTCTTGGGAGCCCGGTCTGTGCTTATAACATGCTTGGGTGACTCTCCCTCATCCTGGACGGGGTTTGTGCTGAGGCACAGGAGAGGCAGAGAGTGCTCGCCTCTCTCCTTGCTGGGCCTCCCCAAAGGCCCAGCATATTTAGCAGGAACGGTGATAAGCCATGAATTTTTAAGCAGATGTCTTTTTTTTTTTTTTTTTTTATTCCAGTCTGGCCTCCATATGGTTTGTTGTCCCTTTTTCTGGAGTTCTTCATGTGGGGTGACTGTTTTCTCTGGTGGTGGGGTAGGCAGGAGACTGGCAGGAGGAATTTGAGCAAAACTCTGCCTGTGTTTTCTCAGACAGGCATTGCTGCTCTCGGGAGAAGGAGGAAAGGTGTTTGCTCTTTCTGAGATACTTTGCACTGGGCTGCGTGAGAGAGGCAGGTGCACAGGGGCTGGAGTGAGTGTGAGGGGTTTGGTGGTCAGCACCCTCTTCCCTAAATTTCTCTCTCCATCTTCTTTGTCGGAGAAGAGGAGGCGAGAGCCCCTTCACCCTTGCCTGCAGGGAGCAGAGAAGCACCTTCAGCTTTGCCAAAGGGAAAAGCTAATGGGGCTCAGGCCTTCGCCTTGCTTCTGCATCCACAGGACAACACCCAGCAGAGGAGGATAAGCTGCTGCAGGATGTGAGAGCACAAGAAGGTGCTGCAGGAGGAGCTGGAGGCAACGCTGGGCACCGCTTTTTGCAGAGCTGTGACCTGGCAGTAGCGTCAGCACATAGTTTTGTCCCCTACCCCCAGCATTATTTCTTGGGCTGCCTTCGAGGCTTGCCCTGCTGCTTCAGCTGCTGGGTGTC